GACTCTCTGCCATTAACCCATCAGCTGTTATCAGTGCTGGGTCCTAGCAATGCTCCTTGTTTGAGAGGAAAATAAAAGTAGAACCAAATGGGTGGGTTACTGTCCAGTCACATAGAGGACTAGCCGCAGCCTTCAGCAAATCATTTAATGTAGCTTATGACTGTCTTCCTAAATGAACACACAGACTCAGTCAAAAATGAAGGAAATTGGACCACACACTTTCTCTGTGCTCTTTGAGATATCTCTTTTCTATTTCTCTGGGATGCTATGAGGATAAATTAGGCAAGAACTGCAGAAAACAAGAAAACTTAAAGAAGTTATCCTTGCCATCTTCATTTATGGAATATTCCTCAGCACATATATTGAAGGCCCACCATCATTATTGGTCACACTTTTCTCCCCAAGAAGGAGGAATGGAACGTCCGAATCAGAGTTCCATACTTGAAAATGAGAGAACTCTAGATCCTTAAAATTCTGTTCACTGTCCACAGACCATACTCCCTTGGCTTCCCATCATGGCATTTGACCCCATGTCAGTTCATATCATTTGGGGGAAAAGGAGTATAATGATCAAAATTCATAGTTTGAGAAGAATTTCTGCTGAAAATCTTAGAATGAAATCTATCATCTTTACACAGAGAGAAGAGAAATTCCTCATAAAGTTCTGTTTTATTTTTGTTTTTTTGGTCATATGTGTTTTTATTAGAATTGCTGTTTGAATCTTACTGAAGATTGGTCATTTCATAATTATGCCAGAAGAATCAGAATGTTTTAAAAATATCTTTCAGTTTGAAAATACTGCATTGATGTAGAATTTAATTTTATAACAGAAGAAAAAAATAACTTCCATTAGCACTCAGAGATAATAGCTGTACATTTTAGTTTATTTCTTGCCAGTTTTTTTAATGTATAATTATAAATTTGGGATTATACTTGTAACACACATATGGTGTCTTCTTAGGGTCTATTAAATATTCAGAGCCACAGACAACCACATGTCTCATTTGGCACTGGTCCACTTGGGAGGATCTATAGCTTATCAACAGGGCAGCATCACTTGCTCCTCTTCAGCCTGTTTCTTTGCAGTGATCCAGGGCAGCTCAGGTGCAAGGAGACCACAGACACATCAGAGGATGCAGGAGCCACCTTGGCTTACAAGACTTATCATGTCCCATCAGAGTCAGTAAAAGGTGCAGCAGTTCCACAGACATGGCTTCCAAGTTTCCAGAGTCACTTGCACTGGGAAATCAGCATGGTACTGTCTTGGGTAATCTCAGATCTCTGAGTCCAGGGGCAATTCACCAATCAGGGGTTAATTCTGCCTAGTAACATAGCTGATATGTACCCTCTTTTTCTGGAGAAACAGAGCTAGAAAACTAAGAGAATCTCATATTCTCTTGTAGAAGAGAAAAAGCTTTTACCTCTGATACTATATACAATTTTTTAGCCCACATAAAAATCTTCTCACTAAATCATAAGCATGCTTCATTTCTCTTAAAGGTGTTTCAGAAATATCACAGTCTCATAATGAGTTTGGACAATCCTCTAGTTCTGTGTATTTAGCTACCACCAAATATCCTTCTACTCTTTTTTTAAAAATTTTTTTTACCAATTATTTTTATTAGTTGGAGGCTAATTACTTTGCAACATTGTAGTGGTTTTTGCCACACACTGACATGAATCAGCCATGGATTTACATGTGTTCCCCATCCTGAACCCACCTCCCACCTCCCTCCCTTAAAGCTGACTGAACATCCCTACTCAGGTTATCTCCTTAACATAAATTCAAGGAATGGAACTAATGGGTCCAAAGTTTATAAAACTCTTGCACATCTTTGACCAGCTGCTCTTCAAAAAGAAAATGTCAGCTTGCATTTTTTAATGGCCAGTTTCTTTAAAAAACATCATTTGTTTATTTTTGGCTGCACTGGGTCTTCATTGCTCTGCACGGGCTTTCTCCAGTTGTGGGGAGCAGGAACTACTGTGTTGAGGCACCTGGACTTCTCATTGCAGAGGCTTCTCTTGCTGTGTAGCGTGGCTTTAGGGTACATGGGTTCAGTAGTTGCGGCTCCGGGGCTCTGGAGCACAGGCTCAATAATGATGGCGCAAGGGCCTAGCTGCTCCATGGTGTGATGTCTTCCTGGATCAGGGATGAAACCCATGTCTCCTACATTGGCAGGTGAATTCCCCACCACTGAGCTACCAGGGAAGCCCCTCAGTTTACGTTTTGACTCAAATTGTATGAAAGTACTTATACCTTTAACAACACAATTATACTTCTTTAAAGCACTTGCCAATTTTACATGGGGAAAATTCTGGACTTTAAAAAACGACTTTTCTGTGATAATTCATGAGTTTAGAAATGTTTATGTGCATATAAATTTTTTGTTAATTGTCTATTTTTGTCCTTGCCCATTATTATTTTTGGAAGCTCATCTTTTTAAGTAGTAAGAATATTTACATGGGAGTCTCATATTCTGCAAATATTTTTGCAGTCTTTATTCACTTTTTATTTTGGTAGAAATGCTTATTTTTCAGGTAGACTTATCAGTCCTCTTCCATCTGCTTGTATTAACATTCCTAATGCTTTTGTGGATGTGTATGTATACTTTCTAAGTGTTTGAAATCCCTATTTTTCTTGCTTTATAATGTGCATTGAAAAGCTTTCTGCTTATTTTAAGGCTCTGGAACAGTTTATATAGTTACTGACTTTCTATGCCTTGAAATTTTGAAGGAATTTATATTATAGTTATGTGTCTCCAATGAAATGAGATAAATTTTAGACAGTTTAAAATTTTCTCTATTGTTATTCATCTATTCGGTTTTCTACTTCTATTAAAGGCATTGTTAAAAAGTTACATTTTCATAGAATATTATCGATTTTATTGAGAGATAAGCATGTATTGGCATAGAGCTGAATATACAATTTTAACAAAACTATAGTACAGACTTTTAAACATTTATATATTTTTGCTTATATATTTTTTCTTTTTTTTTTAACTTTTGTCTTATGTTAGAACAAGGGGATTATACATTTTAATTATCAATCCTATTGTTTTCTGATTCATTGATTTGTTCATAATTTTTATTGATATGCTTCCTTTGCTTTCCTTGTTTTTCTCTTTTTTTTTTTAAAGGAAAAATGTCTCTATGATTACAAAAAGTAATTGCAGGAGAGCCCAGGCAATGATATTTCCTGGCACTAGCAAGAAGATAGGTAAATGTTAGTAAGTCAATGGATCTCTCAGGGATTCTAGTCTGAGAACATGAGAAAATGGTATGTTTATGGGACAGGAAGAAACCAGGACCTGATTCCAGCTAAGCCCAGTGCCTCTGGTTAGAGCCGCCATTAAATCATTCCAGATAGAACCCAGTGTAGCCTCTAGGCTTTACCTGGGGAGCGAATTGTGTCGTCTTTTGAGATGCCTGGAAGTGGGGCTTTTATGCTTTCTCTTAGTCCCTGGGCTGGTGAGAAAGGAAAGTTAAGAGGGGCACATCCCCTATCACTCTAAACAGGAGGTGTCACCAGGGTCTCTGTGGAGTCCTAAACAGGAAGTGTGACTAGGGTCTCCATGGAGTCTCCCCTGCAGGGAGAGGAAGTTCGTCTGTGATCCTGAAGAAGGTGAAGATCAGTTTCCAGTTTTTCTTTGTTTCCCCTACTTCTAACCAGTCAGTGCATGCTAGACACTATGCCAAGTATTTGTATGAAGCACCTTAAGTCTTGATGACTCCATGAACTAGGCAGTCACATTATCTCCGTTTTGGGGGGCAGAGGGGGAGGGAACAGTACAGTGACTTGCCGGAAGTCGCACAGACAGGAGGTCCTGTAGGTTGGACTGCAAAGCTTGTGTTTTTCACCACCATGAGAGATTCTGTTTTATCACAGCTGATCTTAATTCCTACTGCAGAGCTTTATCATTTAAGGGGGGAGCTTGTCAAGCCTAGAATTAATGATAAAATGAACTTAAAGTACTCATTATGTGCATATTCTCCTCTAAATTCGATTCCATTTCTCACCTTAAAGCAAGGAAAACATTGGTATGGAAAACAATACTTGAACTGAACATCGGAGTAATCAGTACATTCCTCAGCATGCCAGTGAGTATTTTTATTATTGTCCCAAAGAGATGGGAGTGGGGGATGAGGGAGAAAGAGTAGGGGAGGAGGGAAAGTTGAGGGGGAGGAAGCTTTGGAAGAAAAAAGGGGCGAATGATAACTGAGATCACATCCCAAATAATCTGACCCCATAGCATGTACAAAGAAATGTTTATTTTAAAATACAAAGTCATTTTTTAAGTTAAAATTAAGATGTCTAAGTGTTAAATCACTTTACTAGACAATACAGATCTGTGAGTTATGCTTTTGAAACAGTCTCCCTAGAGAACTGTTGGGCCTTTTTTTTTTTTTCCCCTCATGAGAGAGACGAGTGCAATCAATGAAGGTAAAGTTGCAACTTAATTGAATGTCAAGCAATGTGAGCAGAATCAGCTGCCCAGAATGAATCACGGCAAATCAGGTCGAGCGATTTCTCTCATCTCCGGCCTCTCTGGAAGTTCAGTCAGAAGGACAGGAGATGCAGGCTGGAGGGGGGCGGGGAAGGATTCTGTTCCACTCTGATGTGAGTCTTTATATTGAGGCCAGCATTTACATTCACAACCTCTTCTGAACACACAAAGCAAGCCATGCATTTTTTTTTTTCAAGAGCACAATTGCTATACTTAACATGGCAGCCACTCATGACTATTGACTTACATATTCAGGCATACTTTAAAAATTATATATATTTCAATTCAGGCAGCAGAAAGCAAAAGCCACCTGTAAAAGACAAGGCCTACTTAGATGAGATTTTATGCAGGGCTCTACTCAGTCTATACTGGAAAAGGACACATCTAGTAAGGCTGCTGCTGTAAGCCCAGGAAGAGAGGAAAGAAGAGAAAAAGCAGACAGAAAATGTTGTTTAGGACCCGACAGGAAAGAAGGAAACCTCTTTCTGTACTTACAATAGCAGTTGGGGTGGCAGCCAGCACGCAGTAGAGCAGCAGAGGGGTGATGAAGCTCTCCTCCTCTGTCCCCGGGTAAGGCTTCATCAAGTCTCCGTCCTGACAGAAGAATCCTTGGATATGCACCTGAAAAGTGTCAGTGCATTCGAAGTAGTAGGCAAGCAGCACTGTCCCAGCCATGATGACAAGCTGAAAATACAGCATGGCCACACAGAGACATTAGCAGGGCTTCGGAGCCGCGCCCGCCCCTCCGAGCACACTCCCTCCATCACCCGGCGGCTCTCCTGTACTGGTACTGACTGGCAAGAGTGTGCGTGTCTGGCTCCACGTGCGCCGGGCTCGGGGAGTGTGTGCTTACTTGTCTGCCTTGTAACATCTGTTATATAAACCTCCCAGCAAATAAGAACGGCTCCCATCTGAGAGGCAGACCACAGCATCGCTTGTAGAGAGACCCAGCTTCTCCTGCCCCCCCCCCGCCCCTCCCAGAGGATGTGTGGGAATCAAGGCAATGCTGCTATTCAGGACACAGGTGAAAAGTCAAAGGACAGTGGCATGTGAATTGGCCAGATGTAGCATGAGATCTGCTCATGGAAAATTTCAGAAAATATTAGAGATAAACTTACCTTATTATAAAGTATTAGAGGCAGGTAAATGATGAACGAATGAACAAATGAATGAATGATCAGGAAAGCTAATGCCTAGAAAAGGTTAAGGGAAATGTTCAGAACCACACCCTAAATTAATGGCATGGATAAGAATATCGTACAGGTATCCTATATCAGTCATAACTCTTATCCTTTTCCAAAAAGGTATTATCTTTATTCCAAAAATAAAGGTAGGGCTTTCTACCTTTAATAAAGGCTTTCTACCAGTCAATAAAGGACCTTGCTGATGATCACATCTTATTCTATATGTACTTCATAAGGTTTGGACACAAAAAGGGACACAATTTTATCCTTTCGTTTAGCTCAGATATGTCCCAGATACTCACTGAGGTTTAGATGAAGCCTTTAATAGGTGTGAGGAGTTGGGGGAGTATAGAAACACCATTATTTTCCTCATTCACAATAGAAACACCAAAATGGCAAGATGAGATGGTGATAAAGGTAGACAGAAAAGAAGTCTTTGAGATTATGAAATTACAGAAAATTAAGCTGGAAAAGACCTTGGAAATCTTCCCATATAAAACCTTTATTTCATAGATGAGCAAGCAGAGGCCCAGCAAGGAGTACTAACTCCTACTGGATTATCCAGTAAGTAAACCAAACATGTGCTTATGCTGACAATCAGCAAAGCAAGGAAACTGAAATGGAGAAAAAGTATTTTTAAATGTTGATTTGTTTCAAAGTATCAAAGTAATCATTTGGGGAAAAATTAGAACTTGGTAGAAGGCAATGGCACCCCACTCCAGTACTCTTGCCTGGAAAATCCCATGGACAGAGGAGCCTGGTAGGCTGCAGTCCATGGGGTTGCGAAGAGTCAGACATGACTGAGCGACTTCACTTTCACTTCTCACTTTCATGCATTGGAGAAGGAAATGGCAATCCACTCCAGTGCTCTTGCCTGGAGAATCCCAGGGACAGTGAATCCTGGTGGGCTGCCGTCTATGGGGTCGTACAGAGTCGGACACGACTGAAGTGACTTAGAAGCAGCAGAGTGTCTTTTATGGCTTTAAAATTGTTTCTGTGTGGAAGTACATAAGCGGCAGGGAGGAAGAAGTGTTATCTTTGAGGGTTTAGTCTCCAGTTTTTATTCCAGCCTTGGAGTGACTAACCCAAGGTCACGTAGCTAGTTAGTGTTAGACCCAGGACAAGAAACCCACATTTTTTGATCTCCAGGGGGCAAAACACCTGTCATGGAGTGGAAATCACCTCCTATACAAGTTATGGGGGGAGGCAAGGTAGCTCAGCTCTCATGCAGAGAGGACTGTTTGTCATCTTTATCTACATCCATGTCCATTTCTTTAGCCACAACACTGGAGCAGAGCCTCACACTCTGCCCACTCTTTCACATCAGGCACAGTCTCTGCCTCTGGAAAGTTAGCTTTGCGATTCCTCCTCCTCATTGTCTTTAAGGATCATTTGGGTTAAGAATCTTCCACAGTCTTCCATTTTCTCTAATTCAATGCCTTTCCTCTTCAGTTCAGAAGCCTTGAATTATCTCTGGCTGCACTGACTTCAAAGTACAAACTCCTAACCATCCTGCTTATAAAGGTCTGTAGGCTCCAAATCATACTTTCCAATCACTCTCATACCCAGCATGTTTCTAGCTCTATAAGGATTATATTCCATTATCTGATGTTTGCTACCTTCCTCCCCAGTGGACCTTCTGTCACAACTTCTGACCATCCAGTAATCTCTAGATGTTTGCATGTGTTTCTTGGTGCCTGAAGTTGTTTATTGGCCTGTGTAAATTACCAGTGCTTGCGCCACCATCTCTACTGTTTCAAGCATTTTCTTTCTTTAACACAAACTTGGATACAGATGTTTCCTAGAAGGATGAGAAATAGGTGCTCCCAAGCTGCCCCAGTGAATGGTGCTCTTGCCAGCAGCTAGTTTATAAAGTCAAGGCCATGATGTCTCTATTTCGCTTCTGTTGCCCTGCTCAGTTGAATTGACTGGATGGGAAGAAGCTGGCCAGCTGACTTGAATGTTTTGGAGCTAACACTAGGATTCCAACAGTGTGGGGGCTCTGCCTCTGTTTCTGTTTTCTGCACAGGCTTGATCTGATTTCTGTTTATCTTATCCATGTGGCAGGAAACACATTTTCTCTCTCTCAGCTTCATTAGTACTTAGAAGAAATGTGCTTGGAGAACAGGCAGATCAATGGGGGCTTTTTGGATAAAACAAACATAAATAAATGGCATCTAGCTTCCTCTATTGAGGAGGAATGTTATATTTTATTAGGTGCATTTGTGCTACCACTTCCATTTAAAAGAGAAAAAGGTAAAGGGAAGTAAATGATAGCAAAATTGTGTGTGTGTGTGTGTATATATATATATATACACACACATATATATATATGTGATCTATATACAAATGACCTATATATATGTGTGTGTATATATATAATCACATCATATATATATACACATTATATATGTATACATTATACATATACATTATACATATATAATGTATGTGTGTTCATGTTAGGTCACGTTAGTTGTGTCTGACTCTGTGCAACCCTATGGACTGTAGCCTGCCAGGCTCCTTTGTCCATGGGATTCCCCAGGCAAGGGTACTGGAGTGAGTTGCCATGCCCTCCTCCAGGGGATCTTCCCAACCCAGAGATCGAACCCAGGTCTCCCGCATTGCAGGCAGATTCTTTACCATGAGCACAGGCTTCTTTTCTCTTGAATGTTCTCTCGTGAAAGAAAGTGAAAATTAAGTCACTCAGTCGTGTCTGACCCTTGGTGACCCCATAGCCTACCAGGCTCCTCCATCCATGGGATTTGAATACTGGAGTGGGTTTCCATTTCCTTCTCCAGGGGATCTTCCTGACCTAGGGATCGAACCCGGGTCTCCCACATTGTAGGCAGATCTTTACCATCTGAGCCACCAGGGAATCTAGCTTTCTCTCGTGACCATGTATTAAAAAGAAGAGCAGGAACAGGAGAAGCACGTTGATTCTGCTTCCATGGGCAAACTCACAGCACGGATGGCACACAGTTAGCTGTCAGCATCCTCCCTTCCTCTTCCCTATCCTGGGCCACATTCATCACTGTCTAGGTTTGTGTCACTCGTGCCAGCTGGCACCCTTGCCGTCTGCGCTGCCTTCTCCAGCCCCAGCTAGGGAGGTCTGGAGGGTGGCCATAATGTTGGCATCACATGAGCAGGTGGCGAGGCTGTGCCAGACCCAAGTGCTGGTGGCAGGGTTGACGATACCAGTGTAAAAAGAGCAATTAAGGCTGTGGGGAGATAAGGTGTCAGGAGCTCCCGTACCAGGGATTCTCCTCAGCTGTCACTTCCTAAAAATGACAACCCGATATGTGAGGATGCATGAAGTCCTGATCATTCTATGAAGATTCAGAAGGCAGCAGCCAGCAGTGTATGAAAAGCAGCTTCTCGGAGTCGACAGTCCTGTGTTTCTACCCCAGCCCTCTGCTGATGGGAGAAAAATTAAGGTCACAGAGGAGTAACTGGGAAGGTCACAAAGCTGAGAGGAGAGACTGAGATGACAGATACATTTTCCTTTGGTCGGTAAAGTCTGAAGAAATTGTGGACCACTAATTATACAACAGGATACAAGCTAGGACAGCAGGCAACAGATAGTGGTGTATAACTCACGTGAGTGAGTGAAACTCGGTGTGTGTGTGTGTGTGTGTCTGTCTGTCCAGGGATGTAGGGGTAGACTTATGATGTGGAAATGAGAGGACTGGTATCTGGTTTGGAGTGTAAAGGGATATTTTTATTTTAAGATTTATTTTTATTTATTTATTTGGCTGTGTCAGTCTTGGTTACAGCATGTGGGATCTAGTTCCCTGACCAGGGATCAAACCTTGGCCTCCTGCATTGGAAGCTTGGACTCTTGGCTTCTGAACACCAGGGAAGTCCCTAAAGGGCATATTTTGAAGTGAGGGATCCTAGTGCTAAGTGACCAATCATCTCAGTTTGCCCAGGACCAAGGGGTGTCCTGGGACGTGGGACCTTTCAGTGCTAATATGGAGATGTTTGTGTGTCTTGAACAAATTAGGGTGCTCAGTCACTCTACCTGAGGCAATGAATGCTCCCCTCCCCCAAAAGCTTTCTTATTCTGGTCTTGCCAGAAGTGATTGAGACCAGTGCCAATTAATCAGCCAACCAACAACTGTTTCTGAAAATTGTCTCTGCATTCTGTCCCGAACTAAGTGTAGTGAAGGTGAGGAATTCTCAGATAAGCTCTCTGATCTCAAGTCATTTGTGACCCAACTGAGGAGCACACGTCAACATAGGAAACAGACAGTGATCTGGAGGAGGGTGTCAGTTGATTCCCAGCTGGGGTTCATATGTGGTTGGTGACCTAGTAGGGCTGGGTGTTGACAGAAGGAGAGCCAGGGAAGGGGCTGCTGTGTGGAGGAGGAGAGAGGGCAAGGGGGTGGAGAAGGCAGAGTGGTGTGTGTTCAGGATATTGGTTTTGACTAAGCCCCAGGGACATATGTTCAATTCCATAGAGAGAGAGAATAAAGGATACTCAGAGCAGAAGGAACG